TTTTTTTTTAGGGGAAGGCTGGTTGCAGTCTATCAGTCCACAGCGTGCAGGTACTGTACTTAGGGTACCGTACCCGTGACCTTACATACCTAGTGTGACCGACCCAAAGGTGGTACAGGCTCCATCAACTACGTTCTAGTCAGTCCCTCCTTGATCCTTATTTATTATTTATTAGTACCCCTCGCCCTAGTTAATACTGCTCAGAAATCTAATCCATGTAAGTAGAGAGGGCAGCTTAACTACTTCAGCAGGAATTCAGAGGCACTCGTGACTGACTTCCTGTAACATACATCTGCCTGCACCAAGTGGACCGGGTAAGGCTGCTTGTGCCAGAAAAAGTAACAGGATGTCATGTGATGTCACGTGTAGACCCTGCTGTCGTCACCGTGGGCCTTATCATCCGCCTCAACGAAATGAAAGATCCGTCCATGCCTACAGAGTCTCAGGGTTCATTCAATCCGGAACCAACTCCCGTTTCTCTCGTTGCACTCGCATGTGTCCGTCTTTGAACACAATTCGAACTATTTCTGTCTGCAGTTTTAGCTAGGTTGATCGTCGCTCTTTAGTTGACTTGCTTTCCCTCGTCATGAACAATTACTCTTGATTGTCCAAGACCCTGAATTTCCTTTCCGCCTTCTGTATGCGTCTGTACTCTCCACGGAACCGCCGCCATGATCTCCATATCTTCGATCTCTGTTGGCTCTAATATTTTCTTTTCTTTTGCCCTTTTGGCAATCTCAATCCTTGTCTTACTCCTTCTACGGCGTTTCCTAACCTTGCGAGCTACTCCAGCCTACCTCACGATTCCCGTGTTTCTTGCTCTCGCCCTCCCCGCTAGCGTAGTACTCCTGGTTCCGATTGATCTAGCATCGAGCTCTCGTGATGGGGGCGGACCCAAGGCCATCTGGTTGCCTGACCGTTTGATCCTGGTATCCTGGCGCATTGCCTACTGGCTAATCTTTGTGCTTACCTGGTGTGTACTACATACGTGCTTCATTTGACCAATTATAAGGTTTTCATGTTCTTTCAGTGCTAATCCGGCCTTCTTAAAGGGCTATTCTTCCATTGCTTGGTGAATATGTCGACTCGGGCTACCGTGAGCCGAAAGGTCGCATTGCGTACTCCCTCCGCTCCAATGCCCGATATCAACTTATCGTGTTGTGCTGTGCGATTGTGGGATTAATCTACATATCAATTCAAAATGGGTTCGAGTTTACGTCGATAAAGTCACTAGTTATGGCTCTCGCATACGTATGGGGTCTTGTCCTTGCGATCTATCTGATGGGTCATGGCCTTGTTTCTATACCTCGTACTCTATTCCGCAATGCCAACGTGAGCGGTCGGCTGCGCAGAATCCAAGCACATGCGCCCCGGTTGCACGACCGTCTGATGGATGCGATCACCGACCTCGAGAGTCTCGAATCGCAAGTTTCTCAGCTACAACGACGCAAGACTGGCAGTGCTCTGGAGTTCAAAGACTGGATCGAAGACCTGGCTGAGACATCTAATTCCTCCGAGCAACGGACCGCACTTCTTGAACCTTCCGACGTGTCGACTACTATCCCATCAGTCATTACAGAGCGCTATATGGCAGATCTTACGAGAAGACTCCAGCGCGCTCGGCATCTAAAGGCCCGCTTTATCGATGAGTGGGATCGTTTAGTGCTGACTGCCGCCGATTTGCAAGCCATCATCAACTCATCTGCATCGAAGAAGCTCGAGTTTGGCCACGCCCCCCATCGCGCAACGTTCTTTACACGTCAGAAGATTCTGAGTCCATACATGCGACATCATCTTTACGTCCACATCATCCCGAGTGTCCGGTTGCTTTTCGGCGTGATTTTTGCGGCTGCATCTGTGTGCGTTGTTTGGTCGGAATTGATTAAGTCATTGGCTCCCCGGTTGTCAGTTGTGACTCTCTCCATAGTCTCCTATCACAAAGATCCAGCACCCGTAGGGTTCGGAAGACAAGTGACCGCCTCTGCTTGGTTGCTGTACATGTGCTGGGCTGCGTTAGTTGGTGTCAACGATGCTAAGGTGTGGGGCAATCGCGCTTTGGTTCGCCGCAACACGTACGGCGAAAGCGCTTGCTGGTACGCGGGGCTCGTCGCTAGGCTTACTGTGCCGATCGCATACAACTTCGTAACATTCTTACCGATGAGTGCCAGGGAGAACACCACGTTTTACCGTTTCCTCGGGCGGTCTATTGATTTGACACCGCTTGGTAAGGGGTTCGATTATTTCTTTCCCATATTCATTCTCGCGCCGGTCTGTGCTACCCTTTTCAATCTCTATGGCCGGGTGAAGAATATCTGCGGGTTTGGCCTCTTAGAAGAGGAGGACGAAGACTTGGAAAATAACCCTAGTGGCTATGGTTTAGGTGGCTGGCGCGAAGGTCGTGATTTGATCGAGCGGGAGCTCACCGGTCTTGGATCCCTATCGCTTTCTGCCCGTGATCGATCTCCTCAGCCTTCCAGCCGGGTTGAAGAAGGCACCAATGCCTTTTCTTCGTCGCGGACTCCTCGGGGTGAGGCTACCCGACCTTCACGGCCATCCCGTGGGGCCGCCACAGCCTCCACTGTAGTGACAGAGGAAGAGGATGACGAAAACTTTTTCCAATCATTTGCTCACCGGGTGAAAAATACGTTTGAAACCGCCAGTACACCTCAATGGTTACAGGGCGACTCGTTCCGACTTCCAAGGTGGATGGGAAGCGATGGCAACGACGGCAACAACGGGCTCGCTAGATGGTTTGGTGGTCGACCAGCGCCTGGCGGGGTGAGGCTGTGAAGACTCGCTGTAGTGACTTCAGTTCCCAATTCGCATGACGAAGGCGTTGGAAATAGATATGACATAGTTTTGTATCATAAGTTCGAAATTTACGTATATATGCTTGAGTTCCTCCGTTGTATACCATTTTGCTGACCCTGGGAATACCACCATTTGCAGATGCTACAGAAAAAAATGAACTTACTGATTTCCCTCATGATCCTATGCCAATCCATGCAGGCTGTTATAGTACCACGATAAGGCTCCCAAAATTCTCACATGCAGTATCTCATATAGTAGGGCACGAAACCACCCAGAGCAGTAGGATATCAAAGTTGCATGTCGTCATTCGGAAAAATTGTTTTACTGTGGTGTGCATCGCACAAGTACGTGTTAATATAGTAATAAAACAATGGCATTTAGCAGACCTAAGGGTCATTAAGGCAGATCACATATATTCTACTGCCAAAGTCGCCGATGATCGTGTGATCTACCGGTCATTGTTTGAGGGGAGTCCTTTGGGTTGGTGCTTTGATAATGGCCATATTTGGGGTATAGGCTAGGGTCCTCAATTGATATGAGCGATGCGAGCGGTGAAAATGGACATGTAATGTCTCTATACAGGGTGAAAAATACCTGGTATCCAGGAACCAGATTTTCGCTCGGGGCAAAGTAGAATGGCATACCATATATCATATACCATGTTGAATAGTATGAGGAAAGTTCGTTAAGAAGGCTACACTGGAAGGAAGCACTCAATTCTCCGACTTGTAGTCGTCGTCCAGCTTTGTATACAAGGCAGATCGATGGTAGACAAAACCTCCTTGTAATCTGTTCCGCATTATATATCCCACTGCTCCCTCTTCGTCTTGTATCGCTTTCCATTCCCACCACTCTTTCTCGCTTTCATAGTCCCTGCGGAACTTGCATAGTGCAAAACCAAGCATAAACATCTTGAACCTTCTCTCTGGGCTTTTTTGAATGACAAAGCTCCTTGTTTTGACATCCTCATTAAGAATGCCTCGATCGCCGACCTGGTGGATGATGTTGATAGCTTGTTCACAGAGTGACTGCCAGGCTTCTCTGGGAGCATGTGCGGCGACATCAGTCAAGGGAAATCCATCAATATATTCTAAAAGAATCCCAGGGATGTCAGTATACTTGCTGACTGACGCATCGTGCAGCGCCGATGACCCATGCAACGTAACGCATGCGAACAGTTTGGGGACGTGTTCGCCTTGGATATCTTTCATGGTAACGTATACTTCAATTTCTGTCTCATAAAAATCCTGCATCCTTGTATAGAGGTATATCTCATCCTATGCGATACTAAAATGATCCGCTTTCTCCTCAACGAACCCATAATCGTTGTCGAGCCGGGGCGACAGAATTAGATGCGTCGCCATTCAGGACGAATTGCTGGTACTGCTGTCCAATATCCGGAGTCCAGGGGTTGCTTTTCTGATCCTCTCTGAATCCTGTTGCAGACCGACGGTCATAGAGCTTTAAAATCATATGGCCGTTCAACTGTAGAGACTGGGCGGGGCGGTCCAACAGAACGACCATCGCACATGAAAATGTGAACGGTTCAAAGATATGCGCTATTGTAGCTTTAACCTGCTGCCTGTCAATGTGGAGGGCTATCTCATTGCCAGCCACATAAGTACATCTGGAATTGATTAGTATATCCCACCGTCACGAGTAGTTCTGTACCCTGTCACTTACTCTGTCACTATACCTTCCATTTTGATTGGACAGATGCTATGAATACCGCTGGTACTACTAAGACATCGAAGCTCGGCTCTTCATTCAAGTGTTTCTATTACTCAAAAAGATATCGTAATATAATTGACCAACATAGGCCAAGGCGTTTTCTTTCTCCTCTATTGGAAATTGGCTGCGTGGCATCGGATGGCTTTAGTAATCGTACAGCCTTGCATAACTAATAATTAGTTAATGAAACGCTAAAGCTTTGGCTTCGATTTATTTCCAATCTTCGAATAGAAATTATGACTGTGTGTATCCCAATTGTATCCATTATGACCATGCTATGCATTGTCTGTGTTCCCAGTATATGCAAAGTATGACTGTAGTGCAGCGGGGAGGAACGTTGGTGTTATTGTATGGGGGATTCAAGTAGAACAGGAGAATATCATTGTCGCAGAATATCTACCCACCATTGAATTCACCCCATAATTCACGCAGATTGCCCAAATCTCCCAACAAGGCTCAATCAGGCCAGGCAACTATCGCCTGACCTCGTCCCAAGTTGATACTAGGTAGAGTAGCCTGTGTTCTGCTCCACTGAATGAGGAGTGACTGCGGCAAAATGTCCGCCTGGGCTCTCCGCCTTGTTTGCCTATTTCGGAGTTGAGAGGACAGCTTCTCCCTTAATGACCTCAGCGTCCACCGCTCAATTTTTTTGCCTCTTCGTTTAAGACAATTCATTGATGACCCAACTGCTGTCGCACGATTCTCAGTCCTTTCTGGGCGAGACTTGTGCATTCTACCTGACTTCCTTTAAAAACAAGTTTCCCACTTCCCTCAGCGCCATTCAAGACAAATTCGTCACAACCTTTTCTGCTGAAACGCCTTTGTCTTTGCGCTCCCTTGGGCCCCCACCAACTTGGATCACCGAGAACACCCTCGCCGCCGACAAGCTTACACTCGCTGTCACCATCCTGCTTGCGCACTAGCAGTAGCCATCATGTCCTGGCGCTCTCCCTTCACCAACCTCTTCCGTCGCTCTCCACAGTATTCCACTGTTTCCAATACGCCGCAAGTCAGCGATAGCGATTACAGTTATATCGTCGATGGTGCGGCAGGCACATATAGGAATCAAGATGACAATGCGCCAGACACACTTCTCCTTAAACACAAAAGGAACGCATATGAGCTGAATTTCCCGGCATACGCCATAAATGACGGGACACTCAGCGTTCGCGAGTTGAGGCGACGAGCTGCAGAAGCGACAGGCGCTCCCGACCCAAAGCGGGTCAAGCTACTTTACAAGGGCAAGCTTTTGGACGACGATGATCTGCCCTGTCGGGATGAGGGGCTCAAACAACAGTCGGAGGTGTTATGTGTGGTATCGGAGGTAGGAGAGAGTACCCCTAGCGAGGGGTCCGACGCGGAGGATAAGGCCAGCGACTCGGCGCCTCCGGATGATGCGCCCCGCCCGAAGAGGGTTCGCAATCGGAACAAGAACAAGAAGAATAAGAATAAGAAGAAGAACAAAGATGGTGCTGACTCTCTCGCGCCGTCCGCCGACCAGAAACCTTCTGCGTCCCCTAGCAGATCGACGCTACCAGCGCCGGCTCCCAACCTCAAAGCCTTCAGTACCCCACTTGAGCAAGCACAGGCACTTTCAGCGTACTTTCAAAGAGAGCTGCTGCCACTTTGCGATGAATATATTGCCAATACCCCGACCGATCCTAAGTCGCGTGAATTCGAGCATGCGAAGTTGAGCGAGACGATTCTGGCGCAAGTGCTTCTTAGGGCTGATGGCATTGAGCCCGATGGTAACGTGGACGCTCGAAACGCGCGCAAGGCGCTCGTTAAGGAAGCGCAGTCCACCCTCACAAAACTGGATCAAGCAAAGGCATGATTGCCCAGCGCCTCGCCGGTTTGATGTTTTTGTACATTTTATGTTACCTTTATAACTAATCGCCTGGTGTGCCCACCCATCATTGTATATGTCATGAACATTATTGACAGATATTGTTGCCGGAGACGAATATAGAATTTTGCCTCATATACCATACTACTGTGGGCATTAGATATATCATGATGGTTCCTTTCATGACACTTACCCCTTTTGGCTGTGTATCTGGAAGATCTTGCATAACCTGTTCGATAGCCTTTAGCACATATTCTGATCGTCCAGCGATGTATGGTTGGATACTGTCGATCGCAATCAAAATATTACTAGATAAATTCCACGTGGGCCTAAGCTCTAGATGATCAATGAGGGATGTCCATGCTCTGGCAATGTATCTTTGCAGTCCAACAGAGTTAGCCTCTACTGCAAGCCAACTCATACCCGGGTCAACATCAGGGTCCTCTTTCGTCTTTGGATAACGGTTTCCGTGCGTGCAAAAAATTAATTAGGCGTTCGTCCTGCTCAACTTTATGTTGAAGTGTAATTTCTCAGAAGTTCCAGTCTCCTCACAAGCTCAATCTCACATCCAGGGTTTGCCGAAAGTCTAGAGTCTGCGCTCCTTGTTGACTGGTCCCAAGCCAAAGCGGTTTGCGGGTATCTAGTCATTTCTTGTAAAGCCACAGAAAAACCGGTAAGATTCTTCTTTGGAACCATCATCATAGTCCGTGGGTTGAGTAACCTAGATAGGTAGTGTAGGTTGTACTCTCAGGATACTTCATGAGGAGAGTCACATTGTATTAATTAGCCAGTGAATGGCTTCAACAAGGAAATTGAAGGTGGACCTGATGCACCTAGTCAATGTCATTAGATCTCAGCCACAGCGGTTGACGTTGACTTATGAGAGACGTCTTCTACGTTGACATACTCTAATTTCCATGACTGAAATTGGAAGGACCTGTGCATCTGCGCTGCCGAGATATTGATTGCCAAATCTGGTCATGGACTTTGTACTTTGCAGACAAAGAGCTGTAACTCTAATGGAATTTTCTGATTGATCGATCCTGGAGTACTTTATCGGCTACCGATCGTCGGTACGGAGGGCAGGGAATGGTGCAGACATGTTTTACCCAAGTGAGGCAACCAAATGCACGGGTGGTCTGGCAGTGGATAAAAGGGGGCACAGCCGACAACGCAAGTGGAAACGGCTTTACGAGAGATCACCTGCGCGAGACCCCAGTGCCGATGAGGGAGCACATGGCTGAGACTCGAGGTGTTCGAGTCGTATCGTAGTCTATAGATCACGATCTCCTGAGGAAATACCCAATAAACCTTACCATCGGTAGATTGACACAGTTTGACATCTACCTTGGAAGGTCTAGGCTGTTTCGGCTGGGGACCTGGAATGGTGACTAGTCGTTAGGCTAAAGAACCTTAGTCGACAGACTCGACACCCACCAAAGGGAACTAAGCTCCAACAAAGTGATAGCGTGCCCCATCGCAATCGTTCTCTTTCTTCTCTGTAGTTTTGTTCTCCGCCCCTTCTTCTCCTTCCTCCCCGTTCATTCCATTTGTTCTTCGTGGAGGGTCTTGAGTTCCCTCTACTCATACTAATAATAATTTG